CCCATGCTTTTGGGGTCTTATTTATGAAGTCTATGTCCAGACCTATTTCCTGAAGTGTCTCTCCTATGTTTTCTTTAAGAAGTTTTATTGTTTCAGGGTGTATATTTAATTCTTTAATCCATTTTGATTTGACTTTAGTGTATGGTGAAAGGTGTGGGTCTAGTTTCATTCTCCTGCATATTGATATCCAGTTCTCCCAGCACCATATCTTCCATTTTTTTAATGCATCGATTTGATGAAGGAATTAATTTGTTGAAAGAATGAGTCAATCATTCATCCTGGAGAATTCACATGCTGGATTTGACTAGTTATATGGTATTGTTTAGCTGGTTCCTCTCCCCTTTACTACCTGTAATCTGGTGGTTAGACCCAGGTATGTGATTATACTTCCAGGCCAGTTACTCAGAAAGAGGACATCATAGGCAGTCCTGGTACTTTTTACTACATCTGCTCAGGCAGCACATGATGTCTGGTCTTCCCACTGTTAATAATACTAAGACTAAAGTGTTGGCAGATTGATGACTCTAGTATAAAAGTTTACCATTATGCAGTTTTCAAAAAATTATGATCATTTGCTAGAATCATTCATTAATTTGGACTTATAAAATGGTGACTTTTCTAATTCAATCATTTCTTCTACATTTATTGGAAGAACTTTTCCTCATCAACTACTTGGTAACTCTGAAATGCATTTTTTGACCACAAGGCAGGATAAATGCTTGATTCTATTCCTTTATGTACCAATTTTCACAATAATAAGTTGTTGTCCTAACAGCCTCCAAAGGTTTTTGGGTATTTTTTGCCTTTAATTGTGGTTAAAAAATACAGCACATAACACAAAATGTACCATCTTAACCATTTTTAACTGTACAGCTCAGTAGTGTTAAATATACTCACATTGTCGTGCAACAGATCTCCAGAACTTTGTCATCTTACACATCTGAAACTCTAGATCCATTAAACAACTCCCCATTTTCCCCTCCCACCCAGGCCCTGATAACCACAAGTCTACTTTCCATCTGTATGAATTTGACTCCTCTAGGTACCTCATATAAGTGGAATCATATAATATCTGTCTTTTTGTGACTGATTCATTTCACTTAGCATAATGTCCTCAAGATTCATCTATGTGTATGTAGGATGTGACAAAATTTTATTCCTTTTTAAGGATAAATCCAAAGGTTTTTGTTATTTTTTTTAATTTTATTTATTTTTATTATTTATTTTTAAGTGAACTTGTAGTTTTTATGTATTTGCTGTGTTTCAGTTCATTGCAGTTATTATTCTTTTTGGCATTGAAATTGTCTCACCTTTGGCCAGTGGGAGCCCCTTCAAGGTAGCTCCTCAGTCCTCTCGACATGACCCAGTCGTTTTTGAGAGCTTCTTACTTTCTAGTACAACAAGATATTCCAGGCTCATTTTGTACATTTCATGCTCCAGACCTGGAATAGGGCATTTTTTTAAAGGATCCTGGTTTCTTTTAGTATGTAAATCCCACAGTCTGGGCAGCAATAGAAGTTTACATTTTAACTCTTCCCTAATAGTATCTTAATTTTTTAAATTGTGAGTAGACCATAGTAAGAGTACAACAACAACAAAAAAACAGTTGTTGAGATGGAAATGTGTTCTATTTCTCTTAACCACATTTAGGAGACTGACCATCTGTACAGTGAAACAAAACCATGGCTGTACTTTAGAATCACTTCTGTGAACCTTAAAAAAATCCCAGTGGCCAGGCCACACCCCAGACCAATTTCACTGGACTCTGTAGGGGTGGCACTGGGCACACAGATTTTACAAAGGTCCCTAAGTGTTTCTGTGTGCAACCAAAGTTGAAAGTGCTCATTTAACAATGAAATCATAACCAAAATATTTTTAAAGTTAAAAAAAAGATGCTTGGATTCAAAATTCCGTTAATCCAAAACATGTTAGGTTTTAGACTTTTCTAGATAAACTATCTTCTAGTATCTTGATTATGAGGACTTTAAAAATGTGGGGTTCTTATTAGTAACCCAGTACGACAAATCTGTAGTGTGTCTCCTGTTTCTGTTTCATAGATTTGAACAATCACCAGACTCAGGCTTACTGAAGGCACGACTGGGTCAGCATGTTGCTGCCTTGAAAGAACATGATACTTCTCTCAAAGAAGAGGTAGGTAGCTAAGCTATCTGAAATCTTCCCAGTCAAAAACGTGGTCCAGAGGACAAGAGTTAGTAATTTTTATTTATTTGTTAATAACTTTCAAGATGTACAAGTTATTCATTTGAGGAAATAGTTATGTCCTTAAGAATGATTAACATATTTGGAAAAAAACCTAACAATAAAAAAAATAATAAGCAAGGTTTTGTGTTTGGTTGATTGGTTTGTTTTTAACTTTCTGATCTCAGGCCTTTTGCATAATGGTTTGTATAGTAATCCCAACTCCTGACATAATGTTAATTCAGGTACCAGAGGTCACCAAATTAAATGTATCTACCACAGCATTCTCCAAGGAACTTAGAAGAATCTTGCAACATTCTGGTCTTGCAAGTCTTCACTCTATACTTTAAAAATACTGTACATTCATGTCAATTCAGCAAATATTTATTGATCTGTTACTGTACATAGGTACTAACCCAGATCCTTTGGAGGGAAAGAAAGAAAGAAATGTGGCCCCTTCTTCTGGAGTGTGACAGAGTGGGATGCATGTAATAAGAAAATAGCAAAGCAATATGGGCCTTCAAAAAAGGGAGCCAAGCCATCTGGAGAAGCAATGAGAGCAGACTTTATGATGGAGGGAGTATAGGGGTGTGTGAGGTGACCCTTAAAAGGTAGGAAGGCTTTTTGACAGGGTAAGAGTAGGGGAGAGGGGCAGGGGCAACAAGGAGGAGCTGTTATGAGACAAAGTTCAGACCAGGAAACCCAACACATATCTAGGCAACTGATCCATCCTTGTGACTGAAATGGGCTCAAGTCTGGGGATGGTGGGAAAGGAAGCCGAAGAGGTAGTCACGGGCCATGTTGTTTGGTGTCTGGCCTCAGGCTAGGGAGATTGTATTTAGTAGATTTTGGAAAGCCACTGGAACTTTTGAGCAGGGCTGTGCTATGATTTCTGCAGTGCCTTAGGGAATTTCATTTGTTTAGGTTTGGGATTGAGCCAGTGGAAGAGGAGCCCTGCCGTGATTCAGGTAAGAGGAAGGAAGGGCCTGACTTGGAGTTGGTGCAGAGGGAGAGTCTGAAGGTGCTGAACAGAAAATGCAAACAGATGGAATGCAAGTTAGCAAGGAAAGCTTGAGGGGAGGAATCAGAAGCCCAGATGTAGAGCACTCGCATCGTAGTATTCATCATTCTCTAGAAAAACCATATTCAGGGAGATGGCCTTTCTTCTCCCATGCTGAATGTCTTATCATCTGTCTTCAAAGTATATTTTTTTCATAATACAGGATTTTCTGGCTTTGATTCTTTTCAGTTTTTTGTTTATCATGCACATAGTTCAAGGATTCTACACATGCCCCTCAGGAGGCAAATCTTGCCACCTCTGTCTCTAAGTCATGCACCTGTGTGGCTATGCAGTCTAGAGCCTCTGGGATCACCCCTCAAGCCTTTCAGAGCTCCTTCAGTCCTCCTCAAGTCCCCCCTTTCCTTGCCCTTCTAATTGAAAGAGAGTAGAAGGACTTTTTTTTACAATTTTTTTAGCATTGCAAACATATATTTACAGAGATAATATGAACCCACCAATCTCATGCTCATGATCCAGTCACGTTGTTACCATTGGACCATGTTTCCTCATTCTCCTCCCCCTCCTCCTGCTTCTTTTCTACTCCATCTTCTTGCCTGCTCCTCTCTCTGTGTCCTCCCCTGCTTTATCTCCCTTCTGCTCTTTGTCTCCTCCTCCTCTTCTCTTCTAACCCTCTTACTCCCCTCTTTTCCTTAAGGGGAAGAAATAAATTATTGCAGATATAGATAAAGCCCCCTGTGTGCCTCTTGCAGATTCCATGTCCCTTGTGTATATCCTTCCCGTGCATTTTCCTTTTACTGCATTATGTGTAACTGAATAAATACCTATAGTTTTGTTTTATTTGCAGTACGATACCATTTTTGTGAATTTTTAAAACAATGTCCTTTAAGAAAAACAGAATCTGTCTTTTTTATATCCATTCCATCTCTGTCGATTAATGTAGATCTTACGAAGGATATTGTTTTCAGGTTTTATTGAGCACTATTTTGCACTACTTTGTAACATTGTTTCCATTCTTGTTCACTGCCAATACATCACATCTCAGCCATGTGAAGTGTAAAATGAGTGTTGATCGACTGCCCTTTGTTATCTAATCCTCTTTTTTTAAGAAAAGGTGTTGTTCATATTAGAAAATGTGTTTAAAGTTTGAAATAACCAATCCACTCATATTTCAAATTATAACTCAATTGTTAGGCAGAGGAGGGGGGGGCTGCCCCAAAAAACCAATAAATCAGATGATATTCTGCCTTCTCTACTAGATATTTGTTTCTTTTAAAATCATTGTTGTCTCATTTTAATGACAATCATAAGAATTACCAATACATTAATGACAAATTTTATTCTTAAAAATGGAAGTAAACAGGCTGTTTCTAAAACTGTTGGGCTGTGACTGAAGAAAATACACAGCCCCAAAGAACAATGTTACCAAAATGGCACAGGCAAGGCAAGCTTGTGAACTTTTAGGATAAAATGCCCTTGTGGGTTCTAGAACTGTTTTGGCTTATGTGTCACCTTTTTACTGTTAGTTTTTTTTGTTTGTTTGTTTGTTTGGCCTTTTTGAGACCGGCCGCACCGCACTCAGCCAGTGAGCGCTGTGAGCGCACTGGTCATCCCTATATAGGATCCGAACCTGCAGCGAGAGCGCTACTGCGCTCCCAGCGCCGCACTCTCCCGAGTGCGCCACAGGCTCAGCCCTTACTATTAGTTTTTTTCTGCATATTGAAACAATGTACACATTTAATAAATACTATGGGTTAAATATCTCTCTTTAGATAAAATCTTAAAAGTAAGT